GTGACAAAGTGATTTTCATGTTAAAATTAAAAATATTTTTTCTCATTTCAAAAATTTCAAATTTTCTTTGTGTAATCCCTAAAATCTCCTAAATGCATTTCAAACTTTTTTTCAGTAAATCTCTATAGGTTATCTGTTATTTTCTTTACTCTATCTTGTAACATGAGACTACATTCATTTATCCTAGGTAGCTGTAAGTTCCTAACAGTATACATCTTTTTATAATTAAATTTTATTGCCCTTTGAACCTGTCTAACTACTATCTGTGCCATTATAAGTTGTAAATCATTCAGACAACATGCAGCTCATGTTACACTAATGAATTACATTACTCAAAAGCTACTACGAGCTTTTCGCATGTGTGCCTCATGAAACATTTTTTATTATAATATTATTATTATTAATTTTATCTAATCCAATCTTAACTAACCTAAAAGAATCTGTATTTTTACATTTTAGTTACTTTTATAATTAGACAAAGAATAAACATGAAAAACAAGAAATAAAATACTTAACCAATCTAATTTTTTCTTGCTGTCGATTGTTGAACAGAGTTAACCCTAACTTTTCATACTAATGATAATAATGCACTTAATAATTTTTATTTAATTAAATAATGAACCAAAGAATACTGAATAATAACATGCAAAAAGTAGACAAATTCCCTTTCCTCTCTTTTTCTGGCTTTTTAACTATGCAGCAAGAGTCGTTACAAATTCATCCAAGCTAGTCATTAACTTTCTCACAGGAACGATGTTGATACTCTGAGTGAAATTGAAATTTATCTGTTCAAAATATAATGTTATACCATACGTCATTTGATAGATGAAAATCTTGACTTTCTGTTGGTTATAGGTAATAGATAATTAAACATAAGAGAGAACTATTAACAAATCCTGAAAAACAGGATGTGACAGGTGGGGTCCGAGTTTCTATTTGCTAGCTCTGTAACCCAACAAGGTTGAAGGCTATAAAAATTATGGTTTCTCTGATCAATGACCATTTTATAGTGAGTAATTTACGTTTAATTTTGTAGCTTCTGGGGGAGGGGATAAAATAGGGATGAGAAGATGTTTCACACTAGCGGAAATTCAGAATTTTTTTAAATATTGCCTTGTAGAATTAAGAACTTAAAACGTATATACACTACTAAAATATGGATTATTAGCTAAGATTTTATACTATTCTAATTGGAATAACATAAAACAAAAAGTAGTTTAATAAAATTTTGAATGTAAGACACTAAAACCTTGTGTCATGTGCAGTAAAGGATACCTGTGGCAATAGGGTTAAATAAGCCCAGATCATGAGGCAATGTCTGTTGAAGAGCAAGAAGGATTAAAACACTGTGAAGGGAAGCCTCTTCATCCATGCATAGACCCTGGAATTCCTGGCTGTTGGTATACGCACCACCCTGAAGCAAGACATTCGTGAAGAGATTGGACTCTAGATGAGGTGACAATAGAGGAACCAATATCTTAGTAGTGTCACAACTTAACAATCCCTCAAGATCAACTAGATAACATGGATAATGTTCACAGTATCTCCAATACTGGGAAACCCTTAGTGACACTTTGTTAAGGAAAAGTGATACATTAACTGAATGAGGTATTTATATACAGTGTCATGATAGAGGGTGCATTGAGGTAGGTGGAGAGGGTCAAAAGGTAAATATTGCCAAGGGCAGTTGAGTGGGGTATAAAAGATTGGAGCAAGCAAGAAAAAAATTAGACCAATGTCTAGTTGGGCAAAGGAAGAAACTCTGGCAGTTGAGTAAAAGCTATCAGTGTGAGATAAGTATGTTTTGGAATTATACTTTACATGCAGAATATAACCACTCTCTATGTAGCTATAATATAAAAGTTCAGAAATGTATAGGTTTCACAAACCTGCCAAAGGTAAAGTTTATCACCTATCCCTGCAACACAGTAAGTAGCATCAGGAGAAACTACTAGTGCTGACACTTGACCTGGACACACCATTCGTAGTTGAAATTGTTCCTATAATTAAAACAGAACAATATGTTTATAACTAGACTGATTCTATAAAATTAAAATTAAAAGTTACAATCCTGATATCCAAATCTTAAAAGTAAAATATATATTGAAGTTCAGTAACTATACAACTACTATGTGTATATCCATGGCACCAAACAATTAATTTTCTGCAAAAATAGAAGTTAAGACTTTTCTCATCTGAAAATGCATTTCTGATAGGTATTCACCACAGAAAAGCTATTTTCCTGGCATGTCTGCCTACAAGATTTGCATGTTACTAGCTTTAAGGCAACTCCCACCTAAATTCACATGTTTTACCCTAAATACTACTGGTGCATGATGATATCATGATGCGAAAAAAGCCCTCCACCAATAGAAGAATGAAAAAGCTTCCATACATAGTAAATTACTCTATGCAGAAGGTTAGGTGTGAATGTGTGAAGAAGCGAGTATCTATTGGAAATGCATTTTTAGATGAGGAAAATGTTAACTTCTGAGACAGTAACTCACCCCCTCACACAGAAATGCTAGAATTCCCTGGTGAGTTGGTGGATAGGCTGGTGCAAAATTGTGTCTAGATGGGCTCTTTTCAGAAAGCACCTGAAGGGAAGCTCACTGAGTGTAATACCCGATCACATATGCTCCAGGGGAGCACACCTGTAGGAGACCACATCTCATCTTGACTATGGTATAATCTTCACCTGGAATGTAAAGGCAAATGATCCCCATGTTTTGCAGGGATGGGCAAAATGACTGTCCAAGCACTTGCACACAAGCAGTCAGCATATCAATAGGTATAATGTAGTTGGCGTGCATTCAGACCGTACTTTGTGTGCTCACCTTGACTACTGAACAAACTCTAGCTGCAGGAGGAAAGCACTTTAGTTATGCAATATTGTTTCATGAAATGTGTGTTTACCTTGACTCTACTGAACATACTCTGACTGTGGGAAGAAGTTACATTAGTTTTGGATCATGTTTTCTGTACATTGAGTACTCACCTTTACACAACTGACTGCAGGAGAAGGGAACAAGTGGTATGAGTTTTGGTTTTGAGGGGTGACTTGCACTATATTGAGAGTGTCACCACCACCCAGCATCTCACTATATTGTGCTATATCCAACTGGTGAGAATTCTCCATGTTCCACAATCCCAGTGGCCAGGAACTGGTAAGTGGCAAGGGTCTCCTGTGTTCCACATGGAAAGAAAGGGGAGAGAAAATTCATGTTGGGAATACCTGGAGAAGTGCCTGGATATCCATCAGATCTCCAGCCAAAAAGGTCTTTTACTGGAGACTGTCCAATGAGCAACCACAAAACCTTATTTTATTTTTAAAAAGCCAGCAAGTGCAAACCAAAGAAGTGGGCAGAACACTTCCCTGGTGCTAGCCTTTTCTGTGATAGTCCATGGATTTATATGGTCTGGATTGGACAATTGAGTAAATATATACTGGTAGATCTAGGGCAGATGGTATGAGCACTTTTTTATCCTGACTCAATGTGAACTTTGGGTAAATATACACTGCCAGGCAACATTAGCTACATGGCAGGATCCTATGAAGTTAAAATTTGGCTCTGAAAAGGAAACTCTACTTACCCATTTAGAGATGGTGGGCTGATTGAAGAATGATGATTGGAGAAAATCGTAAAATTTCAGGAGATGAAACACATATGGTGAAGATAATGAGCAACAAGGGTGTGGTGTGTAGTCCACATGCCTGCTTGTAGGATCTTGTCCAATGGTTGGCAAAAATGGGCAGCAAAAGAATAAGTACAGTGACAAATTTGATGTGAAGAAATGTACAATAGCCCGCAAGCATCCACATCCAAGTATGCATAGACCAACTGCAAAAGTTGACAAACTCATCCAGTAAGGGTAGAGGGAGAGAGGTTCCTTAAAAAAGAGGGGTCCCAGGGTATGAAGAGACTATGACAGGGACCTCAAAAGGGGGGAGTGGGAAGTATGTGATAAGTAATAGCAAACAGCCTAAACAGGATATAGTAGCCAGTCCAGGTCTGAATGATTGTAGAGGTAAGATATAGAAAGAAAGGAGATAGGAGAGAAAGTGTGGTCACATTCCCAAGCAACAGAAGTCTTAGGAAGGAAAGTCTGATCTGGATAGGGGATTACATAAGTACAATGGAAAAAAGGTATGAGAAGAGCCAATAGCATAGATATCTGAACAATGGCAACAATAGGCAAGGAGGAAGAAATAAGGCTAAAGAGAAAGAATAAAGAGCAAGAAGCCAATGGTTCTAAGGCATAACAGCATTGATGTCTGACTCAGGCAAGGGATTGGTGGAGAAAGCAGGGGAAAAAATTTACCCTACGGTACTGGGAAAGGTAAAATGTTGTGGAAAGTGCCACCCAATAACACACAAGCCTGCAATGGTTTTATTGCCTTGAAATTTTTATATGTTCTAAAGTGATTCCTGTACACTGAATCTGAAAATGATATGCATTTTTCTCCATTGCTTAAAGATTTTTCACAAAATGTCATATGTACTTTTACATAAGTGAATCATTTTTATTGAAATATTGTTATGCTTAAAATGTTGACAACCACTGGTTAGACCAATCGTGACATTAGTCTTATCGATCATTCTAGAACCCATGAGAAACACACCACTAGTATATAAATGGTTAACAGGCTGCATGATGCATCATTTCTGGATTGCATTTGTTTGTGTGTGCACTTTGACATTATTTTATTTTCAATATTATTTATTCATCACTATAGCAATAAGAGGTTGTGTGAATGACCAAAGCATATTCTGTTATATTTGTGGTACATTTGTTGCAAATTTGATGAAAGTTCTTTTTTGTTCCGAATTTGTAAAAAAATCCTTATGTAATAGAAAAAATGAACAATATTTTTGGAATCTGTGTAGCTGAATTATGGAAAAATCATTATTAAAACCAAACCAGCTTTTATGCAGTTTAAATTCACAGGCCTGTGTAACCAGTAGTGGTGGAAACCAACAAACCATGGTTCAACAACCAGGTAAAGAAGGTACAAAGAGTGTACAATAGGCCAGCCAGGAGGAAAGAAATGATGGATAGACCGATGGTGATAGACTTGCCACTTATGTTGATATACTGACAAAGTGGAAGGGTAACAGGAATGAGACAAGAAAGAGTTTAGCTGAATGGGTGATGAACTAGACAAGTTCCATATGTGAACATGAAGGGATGATATCCTTTGATAAAATAGTGAAATATGAGGTGTCTATGAGGGATGTGCCCCACCAAGAGCAAATCCAAGGAAAAAACCTGTGGGTGGAGAGACCATTCTGTAGGGAAAATGTTGTGAGAAAGAGGGTCCACAACAAGGTTCATAGAACCTGGCACAAGACATGCAATCAGATAATTACAAAAAAGAATGGTCCCCCCAAAAAAAGAAGTTCAAAGTCTGAAAACAAAATGTCGTAGAACAGGTGCCACCCTGACACTTGATGTAGGAAACAAATGTGGAATTTTTAGAATGGTTCATGACCAAACAATCCACCATAAAGAGTAGGTAATGGGAACATGAGTAATGGAAAGTTGTTTGTTTGTTTGGGGTTTACTGGTTCAAAACAACTAGGCTATCTGCACCTGATGGACAGCAAGTAGTTTGAGCTCAATGATGTGAAGTGAGCACTTGTCTTGTGTCCAATGTTGGTCTAAGCCAGGGGTGGGAAGCAAAGGAACTCTGGAGGTAGTGTTGGAACAGTTCAGCCATCAAGACATTTCCTCGAGGAGGAGGCATGTGGACAGTCAAGGACAATAGATCCCGCAAAATATTCCACTAGTCCTGCAACATCCATTGGAGGAAGCACATATGTGCATGACTTGAAGGAATGAGTGGTTCTATGGAAGCCAGAGTACCCAAAAGAGAAAGAATCTCTTGTACAGGATGAGAAGGAGAAGCATGAATATTGGTGACTGGACACTCCATAGCTTGCAGAAAATGCCCAGATGTACAAGATATTGGGTGGGTGTAAGAAAGGATATGGATACATTGACAAACCACCCCAAACAAGCAGCCTTCTGAAGAAGAAGGGGAGGGGTTCCCCTGAGAATGGATTAAGAGAAACCAATCATCCATGTAAAATTTGAATCATAGATCCATTTCATGAAGATTGTGAGTGAATGCCTTCATGATGTGGTTCAATATATGTATGGGATCAGTGCAATGTCAAAAAAAAAGAGCACAGAATTGGAAGATGAGATTCCAATGGACAAAGTACAGAAATCACCTGGAGGAAGGGGCAATTTGGATGTGAAGGAATGCATCTAAAATTCTAACCTTAGTCATCTACATTCTGGATGAAAAGGACTAATGGTGAGAAATATTCTATCCAAAAGTATGGAATGACCAAAAAGCAATTAAAAGAGAAGAGATTGATTAACATATGCCAGTCCTCAGTCTTCTTGAAGATCATCAAGAGGCAAGAGTAAAAACCTGAAGAAGGGTTGTATACCCTCTTGATGGCAGGTTTGTCCAAAAGATCCAATACTGCCTCTTCAAGACATTGAAGATAGACAGGATTGGAGAGATGAGTAAATGAGACAGGATGAGAAGAAAGGGGCAGAGAAGGGAAGTGGAGAGACAGTCCTTGGGTGAGGTACTTGGAGAACCCATCTGTTGGTAAACAACTGTGACAGATGGGATCCCACAGGTCCCATGTTGACAGGATAGTCACTGGGGAGACATGAGGCAAGTCTGACAGCAGGATAGAGGAATGGGTAGAGGAGGAGACCTGGAAGTTGGAATGGAAAGGTAAGGGATAGAGGGACCCAGTTGATGAACATTAGTAGAAGGGCAAGGTTGTGAGAAATGAGAAATCAAAAAAGACAGTGAGGACTGGTGTCAGGCTGTTTTAGCCTGTGACTTTAAAGAGGCAGAAACACCACTAAAGAAAGGAATGAGGTAGGTGTATATGAGTGAGAAGGGTATCCTTACCAAACACGTCCAAACTGCAGAGGAATGAAGTAAGTAATAGGACAGAAGAAGTGG